GTGGACCGGAGCTAATTAGTTCACTAACTAAAAGCAAAACATAAGTTTCATATGGATTCGACGGAACCAATTTTTAGACTGACCGGCCACAAGCTTGCAATTGGAACAGTCTTGCCCTAAACTCCAGTGGTGCCACTATCTGCATGGTCGATTTGTTGAGTGTAAATTCATTTGGGTTGACTAACCATTAATTATTTTAAATGGGTATGCAACTTACTGGGATATCTTTTCTGCCCGTCCACGTCTGCTGGCAACAGATATACTGAAAGAGAACCAATGCAAGTATTATGTGTAGCTTGCAAGCCAATCGAAATTTGAGCGCACAGATAGCGGGAAAAGAACTGCACACATTATTCATTAATTTCGTTGCAGAAAATGATACCTTTGTTCTTCACCTAATGGGAGACAAATCAATCTAAGATATCCATGTCGCTTCACATCACCTCGCACACTCAACTTACGTCCGAAGACCACCAGAAGAATAGTTGGGCACCGTAGCATGTTTGTCCTTGAAACACCTGCTGACTGTGTGAACAGGTACCCTTGGCGTTCTTAAACAAGTACCTCCAACTCATCTAACGTCACATTTGGACGAATGCTTTGTGGCCAATCAGGAACGGCTTTGTTTTTATATGAGAGCGTGCACAGACAGAGAACTAGCCTACGGAGTGAGTCAGACAAACCAATGTGCGGCTTCGTTCAGCGAACGCATCGAACGTACTCTGACAAATACAAACGCTTTCAAAGTGGACTCAAACATATGTCACCAGAGAGTTATGAAATAACCTAAATTGTGTGAACCACGCGAGAATCTGAGGAGTAATTCATTACTGAACGCATGTCGACACAATTTGTCCAAGGTTCTAGGAACTATGGGGGATCAAAACCATTGCCATCGAATTTGCTTAGCCAGAGAATGGTCGAGGTAGGGGAACAAGATTCAGAATAGCACACGAGTCTAATTATATTTGGCAACGTGAAAAAACATGGAGGTTGATCCACACCAGGCTGCCGAACCTCCAATTTCGATGATCGCCTATGTAAATATTTTATCATTAGCCAAACTGATATAACTGCTGAGTTGAAGAACACAGAGGTAAAGCATGCTTAGATGGGGAAAATCGTTCTCGCATGAAAGCTCATCGAAACATGACTCCATTGTACTATTTTCCAAGATGACCACATCTGACCGAAGTCAGTCCTATCTTGTACGAAAATATGTGTTCGTTTGTCATGTAGCGCACAGACTAAACAGACCCGGATGTCATCACCACGGATATGACAGCAAATAGCCGATCAGGTTGACAACTGGCATCCGACTAAACGATCGAACATCTTCTGTCCAAAACGAACACTTGCGACAGCCAAACTTGAAAAAAATTTTTACTTATTAAATTGGCTCGTCAGAAATTTACA